CATTGTAAATGTGTAATTTTGATATCTAACTTGTACACTAATAAATGGATAATGGTTTCTCACTGGTCTCTCCAAACGAGCTGTGAGACAGCTGCAGAACATCCAGAATGCTGCAGCTCGGGTCCTTACTCAAACTAGGAAGTACGAGCACATAAGTCCTGTGCTCAGGTCTCTGCACTGGCTTCCTGTGCCTCAGAGAATAGACTTTAAAGCAGCTCTGCTTGTAAACAAGTCTCTCCATGGCCGAGCACCAAAGTCCATCTGTGACATGTTAGTGTCGTATGAACCATCTCGCACTCTGAGGACCTCAGGGACCGGCCTCCTGCTGGTGCCCAGAGTCACGACTAAACAAGGGGAGTCAGCGTTTCAGGTTCATGCAGCTAAAACCTGGAACAGTCTTCCTGAACATGTGAGACAGACTCTTCTGTGATGCTGTTTAAATCCAGGCTCAAAACATTTCTGTTTAACTGTGCATATAACTGAAAGGTTTTCATTCCGCACTCTTCTCTCCAATTTATGTCTCTCTTTTTTAATTTGAATCTTCATGATTATTTATGTTTTGATTTGTTTTTATTATGATTTTAATGTATTTCTTATTCTGTAAAGCACTTTGAATTACTTTGTGTACGAATTGTGCTATACAAATAAACTTATATTTTATAGGCACCTAACTGTTCACTGTCTAAGGCTTGCCATGCCTCTTATACTTTCTCAGTTTCTTGCGACCGCTAAAGTTAGTAGCGCTCGTTTCATAAAAGGTAGCTCACCAAAGAGAAAAGGTTGGAGACCCCTGCTCTAAGTGAGTGATAGTTGGATAAACCAATCACAGAGAAGTGTGAACTGTCAGAAAACAAGCTGATGACTTCAGTTAGCTCATCTCATCAAGGGAATATAAAGACACTAATTGTACATGAAAAAAGACAAAATGGATTTAAAGAACACATTTTCAGGAGCCTGTGATCTCTACAAGTCCTGTCCTAATTTGATTTGATGTTCAAAAAAAGGTGAGAGTAAGAAACTAAAACTGTTGTGACTGTAATTTTATGTGTGAGAGACTTATTTCACAGCACAAATCATCTCACCTGTTGTAGTTCCAGCTAAATCCGTTCTTTATGGTCAGATTGTGTTAAAATAAAGCTCATATTAAAGTCTAATAAAGCCTCAGACAGAGCAGAGCCTCCAGGTAGCATCACAGCTCCAGGTAAAGCATCAGTTGTAATCATGCAGGATTCTCTTCTGATTCTCTCTCTTTCTTCCTTTGCTATAACCTGGCACCATCCCCTGAGTTAAGAATACAGCTCCATGATAGTACAAGTACCCAAATGTCAACTGCATATCACCCATCAATGTGAACTGTCACTTTAAAATCAGGCTCGAACAAAAGTGCCACTTCCTCCCGAAGTTAAAAACCAAAGAGCGTGGAAGGACCCTTGACAATGATTCGCTGTGAATACTGCATTTTCAGTCTGTGTTTCGTATAATTTTGGCTATACTCGGCGCGGCGCGATCTGTCTAATCACTTTAATAGATTGTGAATGTACGTTGGAGTTGCTGTAGCTGCATGCACAAGCAGAGAAAGAGAAGCAGATGTTAAAGCAAAAATTTACTTTTAAGCATGCTGTAGTTGTTGCCACTCACCGTTTACTCACTGGTAGTTGTATTGAGTGATTAATGCATGGCTGAGTAATTTTTAATCGCTTATTTTCAAAACGCCATAGTGTAGCTCAATCCCCATTTTCACCACCACTGGTACACGCCCACTGCTCTCTACTTACTTTGTCCTCCAATTTTATTTTCTTAATCAAAGATATGCATAGAATTTGAAAGTGTTGCGTAGTCATTTTGATACAAATTTCTTAAAATCCTCTACTCACTAAGGTGTAGCTATCCATCAGAGGTGCCGACTCTTTGTTGTGCTGACGTTACGGAGACGTCACCACTCATTGGGCTCTGGATTTTTCTAACACAGAAGTAAGCGGAATTCTTTATTTTATGAATTTGTTTTAGATGAATACTGAGAATATATAAAACAAGCAAATTATAACTATGATCCACGGGTTTCACACATTATAGCTATATAGCAGACACAAGGACAATAGGTCTTCTTTAAGGTGATAATTTGGTAAGGTGAACATTTGAAAACCTGCTTCAAAAAATATATTGTACTGTGTAGGGAAGCTGGCCAATGTGGTCAGAAGCAGGAAAAATGTCCGTTTCACCCAAAAAAAAAAAATCTTAAATTCATTGTGGGATTGTGGAAAAAACAAAATAATACATAACTGCAAAAAAACAACCAAAAAACAAACTTGCAACAGAAATGAATAAAACTAAGAAAAAACACGTGAGGTGAATCCCTGAAAGGCTGAACTGCATTGAATTTATAGTTCCCCCTCCAGGTCAGTACAAACTCACACAGGTTAGCTCTGAAAAAAACACGTGAGGTGAATCCCTGAAAGAGGGTAGGTTTTGGGCCAGAGGCTTTAAATATGTCTGGCCAAGGACATGCCACCTCTTTTTTCTCCAGACCACGTGGAGTAACAGGTAAGTAGGTGAATATCTGAAATATACAACCAAGCGAATAGATGTAACCAAATAAAATATATTTAAAGTAACTTGTGTGTATTGTGATTAACTTAACTTAAACTTAAACAAAGACTAAATAAAACAAACCCAGGATAGTTGTATTCAGCAGTTTAGCTGATTATTGGTACACAGATGTGAAATTAAATTAAATGAAAGTGAGTATAGAGGGACAAATACACTCTTTTTTACATACTGGCTAAGTAATGTAGATTGAAAAATTTTAAAGTCGCACCATGTAGCTTTTCTGGCAGGGTGTTCATGGAGATAAGCAGTTGCATTTATTCAACTACATTTTTTATTGCAAGAAAGATAGATTGAAGCACTTCTAAAGCTGTGCACATGCTAAGATCCACGTGGACACTATGTACACGGTCATAGTCACATTTTTTTTCAGTGCTTTTCCACCTTCAAGGTCCTCAAAGCTCTTTACATGAAGGAACCACTCATCCATTCACACACACATCCCCACACCACTGTACACGAACACTTGGGGATCTGACCGCTCACCCAATACTGTTTTATGTTGAGAGTGGGATTCTAACCAGCAAACTTCTTATCAGTGGACAAACTCTCTACCAACTGAGCCTCTAACTATAGAGTATACACACAATTCTAGTTACTTGCGTGAACAGAGTCAACTCCAGCCATGTATAATTAATGTATCTCGATGAAATGTTAAATCCTATCATAACATTTCTCAACACAAAATCCCTGTATTTCTATTATGACATTTTCTGCAGACATGTCTCCGGCCCCGGTCTCGAGCAGCGGGCATCTCACTATAATTGACGCGCAGAAACCCACACTAGGCTTATTTGAACTTTGAAGTGCAATGCAAATGAGCTTGTTAGCACCCGGCTCGAGGCATGAACAATGTTGAATAGAACAAATTCTTCATGTCGGTGTGGCTGGCTGCCGAGGGGTTTGGACATGTACAGAGGAGGGAGAGAGAGTGCAGGGGGATAAAGAGGGACACAGGTTAGATGTAGGAGAGGACATACTTAAGGAAAAGATAAATGCAGATTATTTGAAACCACAATCAGGACATTTCTTAAAGGCAATGTCTAAGGTGGAGGGTCTGCTACTTGCTTGTGTCCATGGAGATGTTATTTCTTTGCCTGAAATGTTCCACAGTAGGACATTAAACACCTTGCATTTATTTAATTACGGGTGTTTTATGGTTCAAAAATACCTGAATTCTTCCCATGTGTCGGCTTACTTCTCCATAAATCTGACCATTAACTTCTCTCCACTGTGATTGTGAAGTTTATTTCTGTACTGTGGAATAATCAAGGCAAAACGGTAATATCTCCATGGAGACAAGCAGGTGGCAGACCCTTCACCAGAAAAGTTACACAGTGCAACTTTTAACAAAACCATTTCTGTTGTGACATTGCTGTTGGTATTGTCCAGAGAAGTAAACACAGATGGTGAAGTGGTTTCATTTCAGTGACTCAGCTCCAAAATAAAAAGAAGGATTCTTAGAACATGATTTGTTACCTCAAAAAGAGCCCAGAACAAGAGAAATCACAAACATGTGGCTAGCACTCTCACCTCACTCAGGAAGGTTACAGGTTTGAGTCCTGGGCTACTCTAGCCTATGTGCAGAGTTTGCATGTTCTCCCTGTGTCTGGGTGAATTTCCTTTGAACGCTCCTGTTCAATCCAATCCCATCAACCCAAAACATCTACCATATGCAAACTTGTCCAGCTAATGTGGGCTTGACATACCCAGCGGCAATGAAGGATGGATCAAATGCTAAGGACAAACTTCACTACAAGGGTAATAAAGTGTATCTTAAAGTGTACCTAAACCTTTATTCTGGCTTTTCTAATGATTGATGGATCATGTGATTTGCAGCCTCTGCTGACAACAACAACAACATACACTGAAACGACTCATTAGCAATTTTCAATATGATGCCAAAAGATTTTGTGTGCAGTTAATTTAAAGGTCCTATAATGTTGTTTCCTCATCACAAACATATGTGGTCTTGTGTTTTGTTTCATTCACTCATGTTAAAAACAACCTTGTACATTTAGACTGAGTTCTTCTGTCAGACAGAAAACACTTTGTGACACCTCCATACACTTTCACAAGAATCATTTGGATCATTTCAGCCAATTGCCAGTCTCTACTGAACTATATGCAAAAGGGAGCTGTTAACTTGAAAACTACCGCTTCATGAAATCACAACGTGGAACAGAGCATTGTGGGCTTTGGAGATATAAACAGACTACCGGTAATACTAAAGGATTACTCAAACATGTGTGAATGAAACAAAACACAACTCGAAGTATGCTTTTGAGGCATTAACAACATTATAACATGGCCAAAAGCTCACAAGATTAAATGAACCGTATTACAGCACATTACAGCTGTGAGATTGGCACCATTTGTATTCTATCTGCACTCACCAGGCTTGGGGCTTCCTCTTGAGCAGCCCCTGTCTCCTCCACTGAGAGTGAGGGCTCAGGTGGTAGGTCAGCTGACGACAAACCTTCTCCATTGCTCCCAGAGAATCTCCCTCCTGGAAAACACAAAGAAAGTATATTTGAAATAAAAAATACATTTGAGATAGACGGAAAGGCACGAGGCAGGTGCATATTTAATACTAATGTCTTAAGTTTGTACGCCTTTGTTTTAGAATGTATGAGTGAGATGGATGTGGAAGGTGTTGTCATGTTTTATAAATTGTGTAGGTTATTTGGCTGGCTTTGGTCCAGTAGGGGACTAAGGATGGAAATTAGCTTTGGCTACAATCCTGCATATTTACAAATACATGTTTTTCTTTTGTATTATTTTGTCTTTCAATATGCATTGTCCCGTTAACAAATAAATACAAATACTGCACAGGGATTTGTGCAAGAGATGACTCACTGAAGCGAGAGATAGAACAAAACATCTGCAAACACTGCACTATATTTGCAGATATTTTCACTTTCTCGTGTATCGGCTATTAGCTTTAGTCATATACTGTATTTATTTATTTCATAAAATATAAAAACACATCAACAGTGTCATAAGATTAAACATACAAGAAATGAATAAAAGAGCAGAAAGAAGAGTCATCTTATCTGCCCCCTTTTCCAGGCAAAACATTAACACTGATATCACAAATATGAATTGATTGCAAACAGACATCTTCGTATAAAGAAAGAGACTAAGGGAGTGTGATGTTCGGCTCCAGTCAAATGAAGCTCATGAGGGTAGTGGTTATAGGGGTGAATTTGGAGCAGAGTTCAATATTAGGAACAGGAATGTATTTACGGACAAAATAGTGCAATAAAAACACCAGAATCACATAATAATCATGTAATGTGGGTTAATGCGACCACTTTAAGACCAGAGAGAGAGAGAGAGAGAGTTGACTTTTACTTTTCAATGTAGTCATTTGGAGCTTATATAACCTATATTACACTGAGATAACAGATTTATATGGAATGCATGTCCATATGAAGAAATATGAAAGGTTATGAATGACTAATGCCCCACACCTACATATATTACAGCAGACAGTCAAGCTTTGCTCCAGCCATGATTAAATTGAGTTCTACCACAATGTGCCACTGACAGACAGAGGTCACAATCTGGAGAAACAGGAAATCAAAGGTGCACAGAAAAACATACAGGTCAATAGGAACAGTGAATTACACATACGGGCTTGAATGAAGAGGGAGGAGATGTATTTGGTTACCAGTTGAGTCAATACATTTAGAAAGTTTCAATAATTCTGAACACCAACATCCAAACATTCTGAATTATTTTGTTCCAACTCCAGTCACAGCTGCATCAATAAACAATGAGGAAAAGAAAAGATGGATTCTGGTTTGCTTCCTTGGAGCAATGGGTGCACCAAGCTAAAATGAAAAACAACATTAGACAATTTATCAATAACAATCACTATCATTGAAACGACACAAATTTTCCGTGATTTGTTTGGTCAGTATTTCATGGCAGTCAAAAAACTGACAAAGGGAAGGTGGGTGTGGTGTCTTGTGAAAAAAGGACACAGAAGGAAAAGCCTAGATTTGAACCAACAACCTCCCATTTAGAAAACAGTCAGGTTCACAGTTAGCAGGCAAAACATGTCAAGGCAAATACATCTCACTTATAAGAAAAAAAAAAAAAAAAGAAGATAACTATCATGCTAACTTTGTCCCTTGAAATCCTGGGCAAAGTGACTAACAATTTATTCCAAGTGTATGTCTCATTTGCAAAACAGATATTTTAAATAAGTTCTGAAACATTTGTGAAAAGGTGTGTTTTTCTACTTGTTTCTCCATGAAGTATAACTGAAAATATACTTGAGTGGGTTTGACCTGGGGGGAGATGGAATAATATTTTGACTGTGCTAAAACATATCTGGTTTTTAAAAACACAACTTTACCAAGAGTAAATTGCAAGTTTCTAATACAAGTAACTTTCCTTATTTTTAATGTAGCCCACGTAAAGAAGACAAATGATGCATTGTTGTGGGTTTCATTCCCATTTAAATATGTTTTTGGTCACCTTGGGATAAGTATTTCACAGTTTATAACCTAAATATCCACATTTGGAAAATACACCATAAATTATATCTCCATTTCTAATGAGATGTAACAGCTTCCTCTGCTTTAAGATATGGGAATGAACAAATTAAGTCCATGTGAATGCTAATCGAGCAATGCATTTGTTGTGTACCCAATTTGATGCCACAACAAATACAGTGATGCTATATGAACCTAGAAAAAGAGAGAAAGAGAAGTTCAAAATTTTAGTTATGATGCAACAATCCGAGCAAAAATACAAATGGGGTATATATGAGTGCTCAGAGAAGAAGACCTTGGATTACTGGATTAATGAAACAAGAGTGAATAAACAAAATACAACTCTAGGTATGTGTTTGTGATGAGGAGACAACAATCGCGCCAGCAACCACACTGTTAGAGTCACTGCTTGCTGTAAAATTGTATCCCTGTGAGGTTCGAGCTAAAATGAATAAATATTTAAAGATAAGGCAGTGAAGAGCAAATTGCAGGTGGATGCCTCTGACAACATGTCAAAAAGTACACAAATCTAAGGAATACTTCGCTGAGTGCTTAGAAATGTAGAGATTTATGTCTCAATGTTAATGCTAAAGCTGATTTTGAGGTATAATAAATATTAAAACAGTATTTAACGACAAAAGTCTTCATTTTCATTAATACACATTTTAATAGATTTTTTATTTTATATTTTAGAATTTTAATAAATGCAACTGTTAGGTTTGAGACACAGTGAGCTAGTGTGATGCTGTGTACAGAGCCAATATAACGTTCTTAAAAGCTACAAAAAGTGAATTTTGTGTCCTTTAAACCCTCCAGTTGCTTGAATACAGTCCAGTCACCGTGCATCTCCTGTTGAGAACAAGCAAAATAAGACAAGTTATAATATATACAACGGATTCACAGACCAGTGGAGCAAACAATTACTCACGACACCTCTTATTAGCGTCAACTCACTGATATGACAAACCAGCAGCCTGTGGGGACCTGAACGTCTCACGGTGCATTGACTGACTATAATCATGGCGTGTTCAAAATCCCGCTCACTCAGTCTAATTTTGTTCCTTTGAGCCACACAGCTGCATTTATGAACTCCGACCCGGTGTTTACACAAGCGCACACGTACCAGAGCCTTACGCCTGATTTAGTCCATAATGTGGTGATTGGCTCTCTTGATGTGGAAATTGCAGCCCCGTGGCACCGTGTGACGTTAAATTGAGATGAATCATACCTGGAAGCGAAATGTACAAAATATACCCCGAGAGATTTTATTTCTTATATTTTCATTACGTGGAGAGGGGAAACGGAGCAGGTAGCGGCTACAGATGATACTAGTCTAAAGATGCATTGTGTAACTTTTCTGGTGGAGGGTCAAATGTTTGTCTCCATGGAGATGTTATTGCTTTTTCTGGAATGTTTTACAGTATGGTATTAAACCTTTCTATCTTCATGGAAACCAAACCAGACCAAGTTATCGGTCAGATCTGTGGAGAGGCGACCTCACTCACAGTCAGAATGTCTGTTTTTCTAGATATTTTTGAGCTATAAAACCACCTGTAATTAAATAAATATAAATTAGGGCTGTTTAATGTCATGCTGCAGAAATTTCCAGGCAGAGCAATGACATATCCATAAAAACAAACAGGTTTCACAGTGCTTGTTTTTCTTTAATAGTGCGGACTACAATGGCCCTCTCACACTAAAAATAAGTTGATATGATTATTAATATATGCATATAGTCATTAAACAGTTCAAAAAGGGACTGCTTAGAGAGAAAAGAGAGGTAATACTGTATGTACGCCTGTAAGGATAACAGATTTTGCTGGACGATTAACTGACTAAGAATTTATTGCGATAAACGATAATATTGACATTTTGAGACCAATTTCAACTAATATAATGACCATGGAATAAAAATGCAAATATGCCCTTTCAAAGATCAATCAACCTTACTTTCTAAATAACATTTAACATAGGAAGTGTAAGACAACCAAAAACAATAGGCCTAAATAAAATAGACTTGTAAGAATAGCCTCATGTAGTCTGGCTCACAGCAAGGACTTTTTAACAAAAGTGCACTTGAATAAAGCACTGTTGAACCAAATACAACCAAAGCAATAAATAAAATGGATTATTAAGTCTCTGTAACAAAATTGCCCTTAAAAGTTATTTTAGTCATTGACTTACACTGGAATGTTGTGGCTCCTCTCTCTGTAGCTGCTGCTGTGAGCCTTGGCATTTTGGTCTTGAAGTGTTCATATTAACTCGCGACACAGGAGCTTGTTTCGCTATGAGGGAGCCTCTGTCCTGTCTGGTGTCGTGTCGGTGTCTTGTGGGATTTCAGTGGATTTCGAGCTCTCCCGAGGGTTAGGCTAGTTGTGTCGCTTGGGTATGGGTTTATGTTGGCTGCTGGGGTTTGAGAAAAGTTATCAAGCTCGTTAAAAGTTATCGTACGATTAACTGATTTATTGATTATCGTTACAGGCCTAACGTATGTATTGATTCAAAGGATTCATTTTACATAATATTTCACCAAATTGACAATTTTTTCATTAATTTTTTTTCACTAAAGTCTTATAACACTTGGACCACCTCTGGTGCAACAATTTGCCAACCCTACTGGAAATGCCCATGTATGACAATATATATTCTGGTTCATTCAGAGTCAACTTTAGCTTACCGTATTTTACAGGCTATTAGGCGCTCTGGATTATAAGACGCACTGTCATTAAATGGTCTATTTTCGAACTTTTTTCATAAATAAACCGCCCTGGACTTTAAACGAAACACAACAGTTGGATGGGTCAGTGGGACTTTGTTTGGCGCGTTCACGGTGACTCTGGGCTTTGTTCAGTTGTGGCGTGTAGGGAGGGTGCTGTCTGGGATCGCTGGATTGTCGGCGTGTTCGCAGTGACTCAGTTGTTCAGTTGTGTCTAGAAGTGGCACATTGGACTCACTTTTTCGGTTTGTTCCTACGTTCCGTTCCTCGCCTGCGTGGATTGAT